CAATCTCCCGTCTATCCGCAGTCCTCAACACCCTTTGCGACTCCCGTACCCTACTTGCGAAATCTTGGTCGGCCTGTTCTGCTGAGAGACAAGCCTCCGTCGCAAGAGAATACACCTCGCAGGTTGCGCAATGAACGCAATTCAGCAAAAATGTCGGCCCAAGCACCAGGTTCTCGTGCTCAAGTGCTATCCCCGGACCTCCAAGGGAGCTGTTGACGTCAAGCCCAACAGCAGCGAGCTCAGCTACCTCCTTTTCTACGCCACGAGCCGTCGTTCTAAGATTCAGAAGATCGGTGCATTTCTCGAGAAAAAGACCGCCAGCGATGTGTGGCGGTTGCGAATTGGGTGCGCTGGCTTCCATCTCTCCCTGACGTTGATGACTTTTGCTTACCAAGTGTTTTAACTATAGCAATGTCCAAGTTACCCTTGGGATCCTCACCGCGCTTATCGAGAAGTCGCCAAAAGATATCGCTCTCATTGCCCCCTGTGTGCTCAACATCCTCGAACTTATCCTTCGCTCCAACGACATCTCCATGATCGAGTCATCCCTACCTACCTTTGACGCCTTTTGCGAGCATCATGATGTCTCCTCGCTCTTCGCCGACCAGTCCTACCTTCACCAGTACGAGTCTGTTGTCCGCTCCTATGCTAGTCTCGCCTCCATCAGCTTCAACCCGACAAAGCAACCACTGAGCAGCCCAGTTAAAGCTCGTTGGAGGACCGCAGGACTAAAAGCCATCAGAAGCATTGCGGCCTCGGATGCGCTGTCGACTCTCACAGGCCGCCAAATAGACGTTATCGTTCCCCTCATCCTTGAAAATCTTTGGACAACAGATGAGAATATGCTGGAGACCTTTTTAGATCGAGTCCAGGCGGAAGAGAAGGCCGATACTGAGAAGATTCTAAGGCGGCGCACCAGTGTCGCAACAGTCGAGACGGTCGATACCGCTGGCGAGCCTCGCCCTATCGCATTTTCCGGAACGGCAAATGATGCCGATCGACTAGCCGAGGAGGACATTGGGGTTCTCGCCATGCAATGCCTCAAGAGCATATTCGTCGTCCCCAACCGGTCTCAGATAAATGCGGCCACTTCGGTTTTGTTACGGTTTATCCTGGATAGGTCAGATGCAGGATATTCGGTCGCGACGCTCGGAAGTAAGGGCAAAAATGACAATGGCTGGGCCCTCACTCTTTACAACGTCATTGCTCGATGGGCCCCGGTCCAGGACCGTTACATCATCCTGGTTGTCGCAATCGATACCCTGATCCGAACACCAGCCACGGATGCTCGAATGGAGCAGCAGCTTGTCCTTGTGTCCATTATTGGATCGCTTTTGCGATCCGATGTAAACCTGATTGGCCTTAGCATTATGGATGTCTTGCTCGGACTGGTCAAGCAGATCAGGAAGCTCTTCCGGCCTTCTGGTAGTGTGAACCCGACGGACAGCGCTGCGGACGAGAAAACAGAATCGGACACAGAGCCAAGTACGCCACTACCACGGAAGCAACTGTTAGAGCGACTTGAGGGCTGTATTGGAGATTTAGCCACGCATGTCTATTACGCCGACCAAATCACTGACATGATCGCCGCGATCATTGCGCGGCTCAAACCTAGCCGTTCATCCAGCACAGGTTCCACACCTCACGGCGAGAAGGCCGACGGGAGCGAGGCACTGCCTGCTTCGTCTGCTCAAGACCTGACTGAGAGCCAGTCGACAATTGATGCATACTTTTCTTACAGCAAGGGTCGTCTCTCCGGCCTTAGCATTATCAAGGCTATTCTACTGGTGGCTAACCCGTCGCTGAAGATTAGCGGCAACGTAAATCTTTCGAGGAATAGGGTCCCTCTCGATGTCTGGGAAGGTACGCACTGGCTTCTTCGGGATCCAGATGGCGAGGTTCGCAAAGCATATGTCGAAGCATTCGTTACGTGGCTCGATCGTGAGACGACTGCCGCCGACTTGAGAGCGAGTGATGAGGCTTTGGTCCAACACCGACCACAGCACAAGTCAAGCCAGGACTCTCCTACCGCTACGGCCTCCCAGCGGGCAGTTTCAAACGCCTCAAACCGGGAACGTTTGCCCAGATGGCGCCGTTCCCAGTTCCTACCTCTCCTCCACTTATCCATCTACGACAACGCTCTTCAGTATGTGGACTACGAGACGGACTTGGTGCTTCTCCATGTTCTCCTCACTAAGTTGACCTTCCAACTTGGAGTCAACGCTGTACGCTATGGGCTCCCGATGATATATCACCTACAGGAAGAGATACAAGAGATCGAACCCCCCGTCCATAAAGTCCGCATTGCTGCATTGTGTCATGGGTACTTTTGGGCATTGATAGAAAAGTTTGACATTGAGACGTCGGCCCTCGGTAGAGCCATCCACAACGAAGTGGCTCGTCGCCGTACCAAGGGCTTTTGGGTCTCGGGCATCAATGTTCCTGCTCCACTGCCTAGATCAGTTGGTGTGCCAGGCCAAACCGGCCCGCCGCCTTCGTGGGATGCTGCAGCACTTGAACAGGAAGCTCTTCTTCCATTCGATGACCGTGGCGCTTTGATCAACTCCATCGCGGCAAGCTACGAAGAAAGCACGAGGTCTCCTCCCACTAGCCCGATGGCCTCACCCAGTCGTTCTGGCACGAATCCTGTTCTGGGATCAACACTGACTATGCCGCACGAGCACGCCTTGGAATTCCCTGAAGCATTCAGAGAGTACATGCTGGCAGACTGGACAAGAGAGGCAGTTGCCTCGGCTTTGGCGTTGGAAGGCAAAGCCGAATCCCTCAATGGCTCAAGAACAGGCACTACAACAACCCGCAACCGTCTCACGATCAACACGGCAAACTTTAGCAGCAATGGGATCCCGACTCACGGAGGCCCCCATAACCTACGCCCTCAGTCCGCTCGACTGCCTGGTGATGGTGAACGCTTTGGATCAAGTGCAAGATTTAGTAAAACGAGCGTACGAAGCGGGCTTTCTCCATCTCCCTCTACTACGGCTAAGGGGGCCGTCGCTTCCGTGGACCAGCTCAAGATGGTGCTTTCTGGTAGCCTTGCGACACAGAACGTGAATGGCGCGGGTGAAGAGGATGAAGAAAGTGGCGATAGTATGGTTAGTTACGAATACAGCGCCTCCGAACTGAGCCACAATCAGGGCACCCAGGTGTCGGACCGTGGTAGTGTTGTGGTTGACGGCGTGAAGCGATCAGCTTCCGGTGCCCACCGGGGGCCGCTCAACTCGAACCCCCCGAGTCACAACCTACCGAGCTTTGGGGACGATGTTGGGTCAGGGGATGACGTCCCGCCGGTCCCACCGCTGCCCAAGTCGCATAGCGCCTTGACTGGCAAGAGCATGGGCGTAACCGACGACATTGCCGTCCAAGATTATGCTGTCAAGGGCGCGAGGCGCAATCTGAGTAACCGAAGCCGCAGGGGCAGTGTGAAGTCTCGACACGGCAAAGATGACAGTGGGAAGGCTATCGATTTGCAGGAACTGTTGAGGGGCATCGACAGCCGGGTTGGAGAAGCGGGTCTGGGAAATATCACCAAGCCGCCGTACTAGGTCATTGTACAAGAAGGGCGTGGGTGGTTGGTTTCCAACAGTTTTAATTTCCTTCAGTGTTGGTTTTATATTCAGCTTGTTTGCTATATAGAGTGCGAGGAGTTTCTGCGTCAAAACTGGGGCCGAACTGGGCATTGGGGAAAATAAGCGAGCAGTGATGGGACGGTTTGGTTTGTTCGAATATGCATATGCGTATACATACCTTGTATTGTTTACAAAACATGAAACCTAAGATTAATTCTCCTCCTATCTCTCTTTCTCCCTGGATCTCATGTGTTTGTTTGTATATTAGCGGAGTGGTATTAAGCACATTCAAGTGTGAGTCCCAGCTTTCCCGTCCAGGGGCGACCCCAGTAGCACAAATGGAAGAAGATCTCCATCTTTACCAAGGGAGACCTTGTTGATGCGGAAGCTTGATGCCGAGACTTGCAGTTGTGTGGGCTCTCGGCCCTGGTTACCATTTACAGGCAGAAGGGATAAATGGATAAGGTAGTTACCATATACTTGCAGATAAATAATATACGTGCATTGAAAAATCTCCGGATATGCTAATGTTCTACAAAGGGTTGAGTTCCCGATAACTGTCGCCAAGCGGATCCGGTGAATCTATTGCTATGGATGCAAGCATTTGGTGGCTCTTACCAACCTTGATTGGCGACTCCTGCCTCCATGTGTATTATGAAGCAAGGTAGTTAGATATGTAGACAGATAAACATTGTATCATAGGTGCCTACTTGTCGTAGGTGGTTTCCGGGAGGAATTGAGGTGGTCCTCATTCATCAAGACAGATTACAACGCATCGTAATTCGGAGCTTGGAGGCAAGACCGCGATGTTTCTTAGATGTAAAGCACTTACCTAACGAGCAGAAGTAAAATAACGTTCATTGTAGTTGTGTGTAATCACCGGTTTGGAAGGTTCATACCCTCAGATACTTGCTGGTAATTCTCCTCGTAGTTGCCTACACACTCACTGAAGGTACTCCCATGGTAACTTCCCTGTCTAGCAATACGATGATGCCCCTTCTCTTCTCCAACAGTTATCTGGCCGACGAAATCCTATTTCTGTTTGCTTTTTCTTCTGCGGTTGACTCTCGCTCTGATTATTCTTTTGCTTCTATCAGCATCCATCTTTCGCTCTGTTTGGTCTTTGTTGACTTACTTTGATACGATTTATCATCACCTTCGTTCAGTCTCTCGCTAATAGACATCCATTAACACTGACGGTACCTCATTTTGTTTCCATTTCTTCTTGGAAGCAGGGATAGCCTACTAGTCCCCTTTCTCAAAATTCCGAGTGCAATACCAGAACATACGGTATTGAAGTTTACTTGCTCCTCGAGCCGGAGTGGAGAAGATCGAACGAAACTCGGTGCAGCAACGCCTATATTGGCCCTAGTTATCTAAAACTCAAGCGACGAAGCCGACCATCATCACACAATGGAGGAGCATATCGAAGAGCCGGGCCATCCATCGCGAAACATTCCCAACGAAGCATATCCCGATGACAGCCCCCGACCAGAGGCAAGCCCTCATGATCTGCCACCGCAAGACGAGGCACACCGTGATGATGGGATACAATCATTTGAAGAATGGAATGGTGGCATACAAGGTGCCGGAAGAATTGAGAGGCCAGAGCAAGTCGCAACGCCCAATGAAGTCCCGCTGTCACTGCAATCATTCATCCGCGGGCCCACATCCTCGACCAACGTAGGGCTTTTCTCATCTGAAGACGTCCATGACCCAAGGAATCGCCGTCTATCACCTCTACGGTCACCTCGGCAGTCACCTCAGCGGCCACCTCAGGAGTCACCTCAGGAGTCACCTCAGGAGTCATCTCAGGAGTCATCTCAGCAGTCACCTCAGCAGCCATCTCAGCAGTCACCTCAGGGGACGCTTGAGCAGTTACTTCAGCAGCCACCTAATCGGTCACCTCAGAGGACACCACCGCCGGCATACGTGGCCGAAGAAGAACCAGATATCGAAAGGATGGGGATGCAAACCGGAACACAAGCTAGGCCAAACTGGAAGGGTATGGGTTTCATTGGAGGTAGCGTAATTGTGGTTGTAGCATTGGTAGTTGGTTTGGGGATGTGGGCCAATGGAAAACCAGAAAAATGATACGGCACCCTCTGCATTGACCTAGGTTGGACCATCTGGGAATTCAGGTTGGAGTTTGGCAGTTGTTCTGGGGCTGCTTGAACATGTTCTATTGGCATTCTAGGAAGTCGTGAGCCGAGCACCGTTGAAAGGTGCCGTCGTCAGTTATTACTATGTATGTACCATTGCTACATGTGTATAGCGTTAGCCAGCGAAGAATTCGTTTCTCTTTGATCCCCCACGACGTATATGGAATATGACAGCGTCTAGGATGAGTTTACCCGTGATGTGGTACTGTTCCATGTCATTCATCACAACAGATATCTGTATGCTCAAGTCCTAAGCTGTTGGTACGATTGGGCGATGGCTCCATCTACATGGGCGCTTAGTTCTTGTCACCCGAAAAGGGTCGGCGATAGACAGTAATAATGTGCATGGGTACCGGGAATATCCCTCCTTGATGGGAAGTTGATTTGTGAAAGAGATGCATGCGCATATTTGGCTGTCGTCTGACTGCATATATGCATGCATGCATGCACGGTCGTTTCGCCACCATTATAAAGCGCTTATTAGAGAGAGCAGAGGGGAGGATCGCAGAGGCCGAAATGAAGTGACAAGGCTGACAGGATATACAACCAGAGTATACCATCTCAGCGATGAAAACGCGATTTACGGTTGTTGGTCCATAGATTGAAACGCATCTCGCCAACTGGTCTCTGACCCAGCGCTGAGGTTGGTCCCTACCTACCTACATGTAGGTATCCATGCCGCATGTTTGAGATGGGACGGATCGTGGATGAGCACGAACATGCCACGTGCCATGACGTAAGACAGCTTTTTTTGCCTGACCGGGCTGTATATCAGATATGCCTCCCATCGGTACGGTTTGACTGGGCAACCAATGGCTGGCACATGGCGTCAGGGAGTGTTTCAGGATTCAGCGTAGGAAGTGAGAATCTTGCGCACGAAAGGGGGTGAATGCCCAATCCTCCTTGGGCGATTTCCAATTTAGATGCTTATTACAGCGCAACCGGGAGAAATTCGATGGCAGGATTTTTGGTGATGAGTTACTCGTGGCCTGCGCGCAGAGGGCACGGTGTGCGCGGTGTGTCTCCCACCCCTGGCTCAGCATCCATGGAATCACGGTCCGACCACCTTGGAGGAGCTTTGATGTTGTAGCATGTAGGCAACGTGGGCTTGGACTGGGGTCAGCCGTTCCACGGGGACCAGACCATGGGCATCAGGATGCATGGAAGCTGTGGGCGTTGGGGCCCCCAAGGCGTGTGTGTGAAACGAGGCGTGAGTTGGCGAGTCAGCCAGGCCATCCATCTCGATTTGGGAGCTCTCGCAGAGCCAAGGTTGTTTCATGCTCTGGGTCGATGATGGTGCCTGGCGGATGATCGACGCCCGGTGCTGCAGGAGGCACCCATCCACTCTCAGAGTCTGGGCAGGTCGACATGTTGGGGCAACTGGAGCTCTGGAGATGATGCTGTTGCGGCCGTTATGACCCTGTTTGTTTATTTCTCAACCATTCTTCCCTGGCCCCGGGAAAGGTTTTTTTTTACCTCCTGTTGGGAGGAGACCAGGGGTGCCAGGGACGCGTTACAAAACTCGGGCGCGGAAAACCCGGTTTCATTGATTGTCTGATGAAGGAATTGGAAAGAAAACAAGCCGTTGCGAGATATCTTCGTTAGCTACCCAGGTAGGCATCAGGCTCAATCGAATCACCATATTCATCGCACCGCCGTTGCCAATACTGGCAATTGGCTTCGGATTTCGGAGTGCCCGTCAGCCCTAAGAAGATGGAGGGTGGGCCGGACATGCAGCCGCTTGACAGATTCAAGAATCGGTGAGTTTAAGTGCCGCATCGTAGAATTCGCGGCAATGGTGCTGGAGCTGCCATATTGCGTCCCGGGAGGAGTAGACGGGGCGAGGATAGGAATATTTAGGCCCGAAATGAGGACGAGATTGACGACGTGATGGAACACCCGGGCAAATAGACGACGTCCTATGGGCATGGACAGGGTGCTTTGGGCCGGAACATGTATGGACATCCATACTAGGACGGCAGGGCAAACAACTGCTCCTCTTGACTCGGTCTGGTCTGGTAGCAACCCGGCCTGGTGGTGCCACCCTCTACGGCAACAGTCCGTCTATCCATGACTTGGGACTTGTCAACACTTGGATCCCGGGCTTCTCAGAATGCCGACGCCAACGGACGGAGGTGAATGTGGTTACGACATGGCCCGTACAGTTGCATGCCTAGCATCATCACATCGCATTAGCACCCTGGTCAGTATTTAAGATGGTGTCTGTCTGCTGCTTCAAAGCTACGCTGGGCCTTGCCTTAGCTCGTCTGGATATGTGCCGTCGTACTGTGGCCGGGATCAGGACCGTCCTGTTTCTTCACTTCTTGCGAGGCCCTCTTTGCTCTTTGCCCTTTCCTCGCTCGCCTAAGCAGGCCGCAGCGCACGTCGGACTAAGGCATGGCCGGTATCAACTAAAGCAACTTGGCGACGTGCGTGAAGCCCGCCGAGGTGACAGATCATCCCTCATGCCAGAGCTGTCTAGCCCCTAAACCGAGCGTGGCCCCCTGCCCTGTCCCCTGTCGACGTAGCTGTTTCCCCACAGAAGGAAAGCCTGGCTGCAGACCTCGAGCCCGACCGGGTGGTGGCCCAGTCTCAATTTTTCCCATCCATCCATCCCTCTGGTTACTATCATCCACATGGCATGGTGAGCTGAGGTACTAAGGTAGGCAGACCACCGACCTGCTCATTTGCTGCCCGCCTGCAGCATATACGCCGGCGGCACCGAGTTGGCTTCTGCATTGATCCCCCCACAAGACAACCTCTGACTGAACTTCTGCTGCGACCGAGTGGCCCAGCTGAACTGGAACCGCCTGCCGTTGACTCTTCATGCCGTGCTGGACTTGGCCCGAGGCCGCCACCTGCTCACCCAAAAGGGGGCTGCAGAGCCCCGCGCCAGACCCTCTTTCTCCTTGAGGATCTGGAAACCATTATTAAAAGCTCGATGGGATCCTCTTTAGCTTAGGTAGGCAGACCCTCACCTCACGTTGCCAAACGAGCCAGGGAGCAGAAGAGGTCTGTGCTGCACATACATACATATCTTGTTCCGTCTGCATCCAGCCAGCGCCAGCCAATCATCCCGCCATCGCATCACACCCTTCGATCGCGATATCATCCAATTCCGCCTGCCATCAACCGTCCGGTCAACGCTCTCCTGTACCTGACGCGGCCTCATCCCTCTGCATTTTGTTGTTATTTTCCCACGAGTAACGCTTGTCGACACCCACGCCAGCTCTCACCACCCGTCCCGCCGCCAATTGCTCCATCCTCCATGTATTCTTGCCCTGCCCGTGCCCACTGCTCTCCAAGACCTCACTGCGGCAAGCAATAGGCGTGGACCGAGTGTCAACCACGAACCCGTCGCGTACCCACCACCCGAGTCGGTTTCTGCAACTGGTGTGTCCAGCGACCGCTAGCATTGCACCACTACTCCTCCTTGGACCTGGTCCAGCCCAGAGCTACCAGCAGCCGCACCACTTCACCTCACCTCACCTCCAGGGCTATCTGCTCCACTGGCCGGCCCCCTGTAATCCTTCCATGCACGCGCCTTAGGTATTAAGTAGCACCACCACCGACCGCTGGGGAAGCTTCTCACCCCCATGACGCAGCCGCCAAATCCATCTGGACCGCCCTCGCCTTGCTTGTTCTTGGACTGGGACATCATCTAGACTCCAGCATCCCCTTTCTCGCCGCCAACACACAGCCATTGCGGCTCCTCAGCCTCACGTACGCAGCTGTCAGCCGTTTCAGTTCATTCCTGGCGTTGCATCCGCCGCCCATCTTGACTTTTTTTCCTCCTCTTAGAGTATTAATCTTATTGTCAGACATAACTGAGAAAGGGGAGAGGAAAAAAAACAAGCAACGGCCACCCAGCCATATATCGTAGGCCTCGCCGCCACGGTCGACTGTTTTGTTTTTGTTTTTGCAAGCTGCACCTCTTTCCAAAATAATTTCATAAGCAATGATGTCAAATCAGCGGAATTATCGGTTTCAGCCCAGGTTCGTTCATATCCGTTCTGCCGGCTGTGTTGTGTCTGACTAACCATCATCATCCTTAGTCGCGAATTTCACGTCGTGGTGCTTGGAGCAGGTATGCTGGAAATTATATCCACCGCAACAAACATTCATGGCAATAGCAAGACTAACCTTTTTCTGTTCCCTGTCTAGGTGGCGTTGGCAAAAGTTGTTTGACTGGTAAGCACTCGCTTTCAACCTCTGGTTCAATGTTATTCCCGGGCCTCAGCAGAATGCTAATCCATGCGCAGCACAATTTGTCCACAATGAGTGGATCGAAAGTTATGACCCGACCATCGAGGATTCGTACCGGACGCAGATCCAAGTTGATGTATGTGCAAAATTCAGTTCGTCACGTTGAAGATTCCTTATGCTGACTCAGATATGCAGGGTCGTCAGGTGGTGCTTGAGATGTGAGTTGAATGACCGGAGATTCTCTTTGAGACATGCTCCACGCTCGATCATTGGCTAACCTTACCACGTCAGCCTCGATACCGCCGGCACAGAGCAGTTTGGTAAGTCAAAAGATCCTTTGCAATGACCGCCCTCCAATCAGTGGCAGCTTGGCTAACTTCAAGGGTCAGTCGCGATGAGAGACTTGTACATGAAGACAGGGCAGGGGTTCTTGCTTGTGTTTAGCATCACCTCCGCTTCCTCTCTTGATGAAATGTGCTCTCTACGGGATGAAATCATCCGTATCA